TTCAGTCCTGCTCCGGTCCTGGTTCAGTCCTGGTTCGGTCCTGGTTCAGTCTTGGTTCGGTCCTGGTTTAGTCCTGGTCCGGTCCTGGTTCAGTCCTGGTCTGGTCCTGGTCCGGTCCTGGTTCAGTTCTGTTTGTTCCAGATTGTTCTGAACTCGTTGCACAGATACGAGCCTCAGATTCACATCGTGAGCGTCGGCTCCAGACACAGACTCGTGTCCAACGTCTCCTTCAACGAAACACAATTTATCGCCGTGACGGCTTATCAGAACGAAGAGGTACACAACACACACACTATACACACACACACACTACACACACACACTATACACACACACACACACACACACACTATACACACACACTAACACACACTATACACACACACACACACTATACACACAACACACACACTATACACACACACTACACACACACACACACACACACTACACACACACACACACACACACACACACTATACACACACACACACATACACACACACACTATACACACACACACACACTATACACACATCACACACACACTATACACACACTATACACACACACTATACACACAACACTATACACACACACTATACACACACACTATAACAACACACACACAATACACACACACACACTATACACACACTAACACACACACTTACACACACACTATCACACACACACACACTATACACACACTATACTATACACACACAACAACACACACACTATAACTATACACACACACTATACACACACACACACACACTATACACACACACACACACACACTATACACACACACACACACACTATAACACACACACACACTATACACACACACTATACACACACACACACACACTATACACACACACACACACACACACAAACACACACACTATACACACACACACTATACACACACACACTATACACACACACACTGTACACACACACTACACACACACACACACACACTATACACACACACACACACACACTATACACACACACTATACACACACACACTATCACTATACACACACACACACACACACACACTATAACACACACACACACACACACACACACACACTATACACACAACACACACACACTATACACACACACACACACACACACTATACACACACACACACACACTATACACACACACACACACACACACACTATACACACACACACACACACACTATCACACACACACACACACTATACACACTATACACACACACACACACACAACACACACACACACATACACACACACACTATACACACACACACACACACACACACACACACACACTATACACACACACACACTACACATACACACACACACACAACACACACACACACTATACACACACACACACACACTACATACACACACACACACACACACACTATACACACACACACACACACACACACACACACTATACACACACACACACACACTACACACACACACTATACACACACACACATACACACACACACACTATACACACACACACACTATACACACACACACACACACACACACACACACTATACACACACACACACTATACACACACACACACACACACACACACACACACACACACACTATACACACACACACTATACACACACACACACACACACTATACACACACACACACATACACACACACACACACACACACTATACACACACACACA